GACCATATTAACCAACGTAAAATAAAGGACATTTTTTTCAAAATGATTTGGGAATACGTACATACAACTTGTATGATAAAAGAACCTTACCCATATCGTAATTTAAATCAAATATTTACCAGTTATTTAATTGTAAAAGTTCCCCTGCTGTAGCGAAAAATAAAGCCAAATACTTTTCAAGGACTTCGCCATCCTTTGTTACCAAAATTCGTTTACCATTATTTATACTGCGCAACGAAGCCAGCACACAGTGGTTCAAAATTGGGATTTAATGTTCATAACGCGCCGGAGCCTTCATTGTACAACCAATTTTTACTAAAAACCAGAAAAAATTTATTTTGGGGACATTTTTTTTACAAGATCTCATTTTTAAAATAAAAGATTTGCTAATTCGATTTCATTAATTTTACTTAAAAAAATTGGCGATTTTTTTTCAGATATGGCACTTTTTTTTAACAATCTGGACACCACGGCCATTACCTGCCGAGGGGCGACAGCTATTTATTAGAAAAAACTTTAATATATTTTTTTTATGTTGGTGAAAGCATTACACCACAGGGCCCGCCTTTTAATTAGATAACCTTATAATAATCGAGAAAATTCCTTCTTAATTTCCTCGAAAAGATAATCCCACTAAAAATAAGAAGCCTCTATTCTTGAATAAAATTGTATCCTATAAGTGTGGCTTAAATGCTGGAAAAAAACTTATGCCGAATTTCCCCAAGGCATTGAAATGACAAAAATTTTGGAGGAATTTAAAAAATGCCATGTGGTAATGAATTTATTGGCTATTTTTTTAACGTAATGGTACGAATATTTTTTAATTCCAAACTTTGGCATTACAATTTTTGCCATTTAATGCTAATTGGACATCCATCATTATTAGATAAGCAAACCGGCACATGCATCTTGTTTTGGTAAAAAGAAATTGTAAAATAAAATTTTTTGATATAATTTTACTTCATACAAAATATAAAATGCAGTATGTTATTGTATTTACGTCTTTAAAACGAAACATTCGCAAAACAAAAACGATCGTTATAATAACTAAATGTTATTTTGGATTCGGGGAAAAAAAGAAATACAAAAAAATAATACCAAAAGTGCGTAATTTCAAAACTAAAATGAAACATTTTAGAATACTGACCCAACGAATTGTGCCTTATCATGAGTTTAATTTTCGCCGAACCGATTCACTTTTCACTTTCGGTTGATTTTTTTTCGGGCGAAACTCAGGATAAGGCAAAATATTCAAGAAGTAGAATAAAATGTGAAACTTTTTAAAAACGTAAATTTGTTTTCAGTCAACTAAGTATGAAAAAGTTTTAAAACTAAAATGTTTTGCATTAGAATTTAAGAAACTACCTAATTATAGTGAAAAGTATTTATATGTTTGCATTATTTGTCGAAAAAATTGTGTGCAGATAAAGAACCTACTTTAATCTTCGGAAAAGGCGATGAAATAAATATATTATCGGCATTCTAATTTAGAATTTCTAAACACCTAAATAAAAAGTGGCATTGTTGATACTGTGGACTATTTTGATGTAAGAAATGCTTTGGTAAGACTAAATTGAAGAAAACAATTCCGGTGGGTTATAAAATAATAAATTCAAATTTTCTTAAAATTATTTACAGGATCTGACCAACGCCAAGCAAAATCAGCAGACCCAGCTTGGAAGAAAGGCAGGAAGGAACATCTGTATGTAAATATTAAATTTGGAAAGGAGAATTTCACTGTATAAAGTAACCAAATAACTTTCTAATTTGATCAGGGTTGCAATATAAATTTAACAGAAACGTTTTGATATTTATTTACGATTAGGTATGGTATATATTGTAATTATATATGTAAATATATTAAATATGTAACACATCTATATTGCTAGTACAATATGATCGCAATGTGGTTTCAATTCGAAATCAAAGAAAGACAGCCTATGCCAATTTTTGTGATTGTAAAGGATACGTATATATTTGTAAACTACTACTTAAAATGNGCGATTCTATGGCCATTTTGAGGGAAAACTTCGGAGAACAATTCATCTCAAGAAATGGACCGGTAAGTTGGCCACCAAGATCATGCGATTTGACGCCTTTAGACTATTTTTTGTGGGGCTACGTCAAGTCTAAAGTCTACAGAAATAAGCCAGCAACTATTCCAGCTTTGGAAGACAACATTTCCGAAGAAATTCGGGCTATTCCGGCCGAAATGCTCGAAAAAGTTGCCCAAAATTGGACTTTCCGAATGGACCACCTAAGACGCAGCCGCGGTCAACATTTAAATGAAATTATCTTCAAAAAGTAAATGTCATGGACCAATCTAACGTTTCAAATAAAGAACCGATGAGATTTTGCAAATTTTATGCGTTTTTTTTAAAAAAAAAGTTATCAAGCTCTTAAAAAATCACCCCAAAGAGACTTATCGAAATCGTAGATTTACAAATATTGTATTTTTTGTCAGTTTTTCGTGTAAATGGGTTTTCAATAAGAATTTGTTAAACCACTTCTGTATATTGAAAAGCAAAATTGTTATTTTGAATACATTCTCTTATCGGATCTCTCTTTCTTTTTTAATATATCGACGATGTTGGGGAATGTACTATCAATATAGAAGTATTACATATAACTATATATGATTATAGCCCATTCCTCGCTGAACATTTCAACAAAAATTTACTAGTCTACAATTTTAATATTTAATTATTTGTATGCAATTATTATTTTTTTAATTAATTTTGATTTTTGTTCAATTTCCAGGAATAATTCCTCTATATTGTCTATCTATAATTTAATATATATTTATGTATGTATGTATGTTTGTGTCTATGCCATTTGTTATGGATTTTTTTTTAAATTATCTAAAACATTTATGTGTATTTGTATAAACAGTAGTTAAATATATAATTTTTTCTTGTTTACATTTGCCGAAATATCATAGCTGGCTATATGCTATGTACCTCCAATACTGGTGTTTTATTTAGTTATAAAAACTATAGATATAGACAGTTTTTTTAATATTCTAATATGCCGCAATTGTTGAATTTTGGGCAATTGTTGTTTCTTTTTTGTTCTTCGAATGTTTCTTTTTTCCACTAAATGTGTCTTTATGCAAAGTTAAGTTGCCCACTGGGATGACATGTTACAGTTGTGGCTATAAATATTGTGAATTTATTTGAAGGTATGCTCACATGTAGCGTAAATTACATTGGTATGTATGTGTGTATGTATGTATGCATTTGTAAACATGTATTATAAATTTAATTGTCAGTACACACTTACAGATAGGCATGCATTGTTTTTTTTTTGTTAGTATAAAATTATGCGTGTATAAATACTGGTTTTTACTTGTACATATGTATGTATGTAAATGTACATGGATGAATCCCAATATACAGGCTGTTATCCTTAACAATTTGCTTGTTGTAATGTTTGTTAGTATTTTATTGTAGGTATGTCGTTTGTAGATAGTAAATTCTTTAGAAAGCAATTTAAGCGCACATTTATATGTAGGAGTAAAAGTGTTTGTTGATATTTACTATTTGTATTTTACAGCTTTAGCTGTTACAGGCCACCACAGCGTAGGGCCAGAGTACACTGGCTGGCGTCCGATTTACTATAGTTCTTTGTTCGGTGGTATATGTATTTGTTGGTATGTTCTATATGGTATGTAAGTATGTATGCCTGTACATACTAACTCTAAGTAAGTTGAGCTACTAAAAGTAGTTACTTTTTGTGTACCAAGTATGTTTGTATATGTATGTTTCGCCTTCATTGTGCTAGTGTTTTTGTATAATACACATACCATATATAGTATATACATATATATACATACATATATGTAGTAGTTGTGTTGTGGTTTTGTGGTTGACTATGCCTGTCCTTGCAACTGGCTTGCCAAATGTACGAATTTCGGCATTTTAGTTGGCAAGTGTTCCAAGTGGAAAGTCCGTTTTGATATCTTTACTTACCTAAAAGGCAGTAATGTAGGTAAATTTTATATGCACATAGATAGAACAGCAAATACGTATTTTTCAAAAAATATTTGTAAGCATGCATGTATGTATGTATGCAGATATGTATGTATGTATGTACATATATGTACAGTGTCGAAATTGTAAATAGGGAAGAGTCATTTTAGCATTCTTTGGCTAATTACCTTTCGTTTATTAAATGTTTAGTATTTTTTTATGAAAGTGTAGCTCGCTGCCTAACCAAAACCATGTTAGTAAAATTAGCAAAATTCGACAAAGTTTTATCAAAATTTTGAGCTTTTCAATTAGATTTCTTAGAAACATTGTGAGCACTCAGGGAAAATTTTAATAGCCAGAACTGACCGTTGAATTTTGCCATTTTTTGAGTTAGGTGTTGCTCATTTTATACATACAAAAAATTGTCCAACATACTTTGTATGGAGAAAATGTGCAAACAAAAAAATCCCAAAAATCAACAATGAGCCCTAGCTACTTCAAACTTGCAGTTTATGCTAAAATTTAAAGTGCAATAAAACTGCGTACTCAAAAAAATTTTGAAATTTTAATTTACATGTTTTTTTTGGAAAGTATTTAAGCCACACTTTTATAAAAAAAATAAATAAAAATTTGTAAACAAAGAAAAATAGCCAAAACTTGCTAAATGTCTCTGTCCTATTTACATTCTTGCCACCGTATATGTAGTGTATATGTGTATTTCATGTATGTATGTAGGTACTAGTGAATACTGTTTAAATTCTTGTATAGTATGTGTTTTGTTTTCTTGCCTAAAAAATATTTCCATTATACGAGTAAGAACTTAAATTGGCTAGTGAACTGCTTATTAAAGCCATTTTGTGTATGTATTTTTAGTAAATTTCATTATTTACTTAATGTATATAACTTAAAACCTAAGCCACTAAAGCCCCTTATCCAAGTCGACTACTTTTGCCTTAGTAACTTTGTTTGTTTTTATTTGATTACTTTGCTATGAATTTTTGCAAATGTGTATTAATTTTTTTCCTTTATAATATTTTAACATCTTTTTGCTGCTTATACATACGTATGTATGTAGGTATGATGGTGCATCCTTGACCACATTTCACTCGGCTTATTCTTTAGTCTACCACTCAGTTATTTATTTCATGGCAAACTTCCATATAATCCGGATCGTGCATGATGCCTTTAATCATATCTTTGAGCATTGTGTAGCGCGGGAAAATCGGATACATTTTTGAGCTGCCATATTCCTCCTTAAACGAAAAAAATATGCGAATCAATTTTAAAATAAAATAATGAACTTAAAAGCGATAATTCGATAATTCCTAAAAACACTTTACCGAGAGGTATTGAATCAAGTGATTGTCGAGACTAATGAGCTTGAAATTGCTGGTTAAACTGAAAAGTGGGCAATTGAGTGAAATGATCGTTATGAAGTCTTCTGGGTCTTGCTTGATTGCAGCTGCTCGACCATTCCAGAAGTGGGGGAGCTTTGGCGGGGCCACTCAAAATTATTCGGTTTGAGGGCTAACTGAAGTGGGCTGCATCTGTTAGACAGGGGGTGCACCTGCTATAGTTTAAAGACATTCACCTGTTTGATGCCCTCGTTAGTGCAATGGCGTACATAACCGACATCCAAAACATGCAGTGGATACGGTACGGTAAGAAAAAATAGGACTTTGCGACGCATATTATGGATTTACGGTGGGAGAGACACTTCGCCACCAAATATTAGTACACTCGCTACAATCTCCTTCAGAGCGAGTTTCTTCAACACATCGTTCAATTTCGGCCTGCTCCAACGCAAGAAAAATACTGTAGGTCAAAGATAACTTCTATGAGCTCATAAATCGTACTTGTAAACGGTGCCCCGTCCCGATATAAAATTCTGCCCACACGACGAACCTTTCTCTAACGGATTAAGGCTGATCGACTTTGCAGTGTGTTAAATCTACTTAGTATTCAATGACCTAACATCAGCTAGGATGATTATCTGCACCCAAGTGAAAAAAAATTATCGTTCTGAACGTACGGCCACTGAGCAAATAGTTGGATCCAGGCAAACCCACAGCAACAATTCATGCGACGACGGCAGTAAAGACGCTGTCTATAGGGTCACGCTGTGAGACGTCGCAATGTGATCTGTATTCTGATGGTTCGGTCAATACCGGAGCGATGGGAACAGCTGATAGGGAAGCGCTTGACTTCACTTGGCAACTCCAATTGACGTCAGTTGGGTCAGAAGGAAACTACTCACTCAGTTTAGAGTTCAGAGTTTTATGTAGGTCCGTTCTCTCTGTGTTGTTGATACAGCGACGTGATCGAATCATGATCAGACCTTATCAGTGGGTGGTAGTACAATCATGTCTTTAGCTTTGAGTATTGAGCGATGCTCTTCACTGCCAAATGCAGAGTCCCCGGTGCTCTCGGCGACACCAAGGGAGTCATAAGCTATGGCTTCCAGAAGGTGGTCCTCAGAAACCTGCCGACCGGATCCGAAGTTGATAACCCTCAGCCTCTAGTAGCGTGGGAGGTAAGCAGGGAGGCCGCTGATTCCGTTAACATGGAGCTTGGAGAATCAGATCCACGGGATGCTGAGAGCATTGCGGACGGCTGCTCTTCTGGAGGATCCATCTACAGTGTAGAGAGGCTGTTTCGTGGGGTTGACGTTGGAGATGAGAGCACGGAATTAGCGCTCATGGAGAGGATTCTGGAGAATGTTCAGAATGTGGTTTCACAAAGGTATCACAATCTCTTATTTGTCTAAGTAAGACCATGACACATGGGGCAACCACCTAACCTAACCTATGTATGTATATATATATGTACAATAGGGCGGGTCAATTTGTATGGATCGATTTTTTTCGACATTGTTCCTAGCATATTCGGATACTTCGTAAAATTCTAAGAAAAAAATTTCTCCAGACCATAGCTCTAAAGTCAATTTCGAGCCTACGCATTTTTAAAAGAAGATATCTTATATATAAAATTGGATTGCTGTCCGTTAGCCTCGCTAAGACTTGAAAACAGCTTGACCGATTTGAATATTTTTATTTTTTTGGTTTGTTTTTTATAATATCCGGATTGTTAAAACCAGAAAAAATAGAGAGTTGCCACCTGTTTAAAAATCCCAATATAAGTAAATTAATTACATAAATTAGATATTGCAATATGGGTGTCAAAAGAAAGAGGTTATGAAGGCTTACAGGCAAAAATATTTTTGAGGGGGGTTGCCACCTGTTTCAAAATTTAGTTAAATAAAATTGATAAGATAAATTAAATATTGCAATATGGGTATCAAATTAAAAGGGTTTAAGAAGGCTTACTACTGAAAATATTTTTGAGTCGAGTTGCCACCAATTTCGAAAATTTAATTCAATTAAGTTAATAAGATAAAGTATGTATTATAATATAGGTGTCGAGCGAAAAGTATTTGAAAAATTATTGATTAAGAAATATTTTCTATAGGCCTGCCACCTACCTGAGCGGTAAAAACTAAAAGCCATACTCGCAAATATTGTTCAAAACTTTTGAGGCTCGCATCAATGTGGAATACTGTAACTCCGTCAAGATAGTGTTTATTGATGGCAAACAAAGTACTATCATGTTTGGCAATGATATCACCCCATCGAACAATGCACTCAGCCTCGATATAAAAAGCGAACAAAAGCCGAAGTATTAGCCGAAGCAGTTCATACAAATGTTCCACAATTGAACTAACAAAAAAATATGGCCTACGACTCTTTTATAGAAGCTGTGGACACTGGAGTAAAATTTAAACAAAAAAACAAAACCGACTTCAATTCTCATATACAAATTTAAAAGTACCGTTATTTTCTTCATGGCCCAATTATCGGATCTACACTCAATTAGTAGGAGACTACCTCTGAGGAACCACCTTTCCTTTCAAAAAGAATTATAGAAAACGGATAACGTAGTCCAAAGTTACGCGGTAACATACATAAAAACATATTCCGACGAATTGATAAAATATGCAAATTAATATTTAATAAAGTGTTACGGATATATTTTTTTTAATACAAACCTGCGCTTGGGAGCTTATTGATATGAAAAATTAATTTCTGATATCTATTTTTTATTTAAAGAACCGCAAGATTGCACTACAAAGCAAATTACATATTTTTTCCTATTGTAACGGGAGAAGTTACTGTAGGTATTTTTTTATATGTACAGTGTCGAACAAAAGTTTTGGCACAGTAAATTAACATATATGCAAAATTTTTAATTTATTTCCGATAATTTTTTATAAAAACATAGTTCATACTACACCAAAAAACACATAAAAATCAAATGTGTAAACTTTGTGAAAAACTCAGGAAAATTCAATAAATCTGCATACTAATTTGTAATTTTATATTCAGATTTTCAAGCAACTTGAAACCTGCACTTTGATAAACTAAAATTTAATGGATTATTAAACTGCATACTTGGAATTTTTCTAAAAAATACTCTGCCTATATTGCTTAAAATTTACTGTCCTATACTTTTGTTCGTTACTGTAAAAAAATTTTCGGTAAGGAATAAGCGAGTGGATGAAAAATATATAAACCGTAAGAACGGCCCATATATATGTATATGAAAGAATACACACATGCGACGACTCTAGCCATTGTGTGTCATTCCTTTAAATTATAGTTATTTTTTTCTTATTGTATTAAAAAAATAACGTTCGTAACACTTTAGTAAATATTAATCCGTATATTAACTGAGTATATATTAAAGACTAGAAGATGACCCGGTGAACTTCATATCATCTATAATTTATTGGAATTTAACTTTGATCAATTATAACAAATCTTCAAAATCCAATACAATGAGATCACTAATACTGCCTGCTGTTATAGCTGATAAAAGATTCCACACCTATAAGATGTGCCACGCCCCTTTTTACAAACTCATTTATATACATATATCTTTCCATAAGCACCTAACATAGGTATCAGTGCATTTCAAATTTCGAGTTCATGTGACTATAATTCCGAAGTTAGAGCTGATTAAAAATTTTCACTATGGAAGGTATCCCTCATCCCCTCCTCCCCTTGGCGAGTTTCAATTTTTTTACCCTATTATAGGTCCAGGAGTCATTGCAATACTTTGGCAAAATTTTATTCGATTCTATACATCCGTTCAGGCTGCAACCTGGTACATACATACATACATACTTCCACAAATATATAGTAGATTTGCTTTGAAGCGCCATCTTGCGGTTCTTTAAAAAAAAAATATCAGAAACGAATTTTTCATATCACAAAACTCCCGAGCACAATTCTTTATTACAAAAAAAAAACATTCCTAACACTTTAGTAAATATTAATCTGATTATGGACTTAGTATTAATTAAAAATAATTTCTTTTAAAATTGCGCAGGCTCGAAATTGATTTTAGAGCTATGGTCTAAAGGGCTTTTTTTCTTAGAATTTTATGTAGAATCCGAATCTGCTAGGAACGATGTCGAAAAAAAAATTTACCCACCCTAATGTACATTGTACATAAAATGTAACAATAAATTTTTAAAAAGGAAACGCTCGAACAGAAGGAAATGTGTAAATACTTCGTATCATGTCGTGAAATCCAGGGTGGTGCTAGTAGCATGGTCTTTTTTTTGACTTATCTCGTACTAGTCACATTTTTAGGGTATTGAGTAAAAAAAATTTTTTTTGGAAGGGGCGCGTACCTTTGAGGTAAATTTCATTCGAAATCATTAAATATTTACAATTCTTACAAGCATATATGTATAATAAATTTTCCCATTCTTGTGGTAGTTTTCTTACCTTCAAGAATGATTTTTGTTACCTGAAAAGTGTTTTGAAAACTTCAAGGCAATTTTTACTCACCTTCAATTATTTTTGCTTTTTTATTGTACAATTGAAATGATACGCGAATACTAACTAACAAATATTTATCTTTCACTAACCTTGAGCACTCGGATTAAATGCCGCAGTCCTAAATATTTTTTCAGCAGTCGATATAAATCATTTATAAGTTGTGTATTCTCGTGCTCGATTTGTGCAGTGGTCATGACTGAAAACAAAACAAAAACAAAAATAAATTAAAAGATATATGTATTTTCCAATTACATATATATAAAAAAAGTCTTTATTTATCTGTATGTATACATTGCTAATGCACTCACATTCCAAACGTTCCATACGCTCGCGCCTTTCCGCTGCCTCTTCAGCCAATTTGGCTGAAGTCTTCACACCCTCGCCAGACTTTTGTGTCTTCTCCATGATCGCACAAGCGCGCATTACATACGACGGCACCGTTTCTTGCTTCTCCTGCCTAGGTATATCAATCAACGTCCAATATTGCGTTTCCAAGCGAATAACATCCTGATGGGGGAATTATTATTTAGCGTTGAAAAATTAGTTTTCTCTATACTTAAACAGTACCTACTTGTTGTTATATTGGTAAATTAAAATTAAATTTTTTTTTCTAAGAACTGTTATTGAAAAAACAAGTTCCACGGCTGTCGTCTGAAAGTTTGCATGGAATTTAAGAAAATTAAAATTTTTTTACTCACTTTTATCATTATTTTTAGCATTGGGTAACGCTGGAACACATTACGTTGGCTCTTCGAATCACCATATTTATTCATCAGAGTTATAAGCGCCTTCTTGGCTGTATCATAGGACTCCTCTAGCCGTAAGCGTAAAGCTCTCAAACGTTCATTGGTATCGATGACCTCGTCGCGTGTCATGCCACCTGTAAAAATTCGAATTAAAATAGAAAACAGAAACCAAACCTGACATTTTCTTACTTGGCGCTCCTTCGTCCTTGACATCTTGTACAATTCGACGTACGCTCTGCGTAAACTTCCCCACGAAATTTGTGGTAGCTAAAAATATGAGAAATACACATAGATTTTTAATGTTATGTTCAGTTCTAATATCTAATATCTTAATTTTATGCTTTATTCATTTATTTAATTTTATGTATGTATGGATGTATTACACCTAAATTAAATAACTTTTATTAAAAAAAAAAAAAATAAATAAAAATTGTTGGGAAATTCTCATGGCACTATCACTTATGAACTAAATGTAGCAACTGAGAGAATAACCCGGTATATATTTGTTCTGCGATCTATGTGGAAATGAGCCATCCATTGGTAGATTCCAAATGAAATCTAGTTGGTACATTATGCCAATATAAATCGCATATATATTATAATAAATCTTGTTTTCCCAGAAAAACCAGCTCCATTGAGATTCGAACCCGAGATGCCAAAATAGCCTCACCCATCTCCCAACGCTAAGCACACTCGGCTAACGTGCCATGTTAAACGCGATGTGTATTTGAGGTGTTTGAACTGAACGATGCGAAAATATGTAGATAAATGCTTAGCAGTTGTCTGATGCGGCGCTGTTATGCCAAGCTGCTATTAGACATCTAGGTGGCGCTCGAATCGCTGTTAATATGACTTGCGGTGGAGTGGAAATGTTTATGTGTGTGTATGCACATACGCTTCCCAGCCAGCAGAGAAAGTTTTTACGATTTCCATTTGTGTTAATTTTTGTATCCGAAAAATGTCTTCATGTTATTTCAAAACAATAATTTTAAAATATTTTTTCAAACTAAGCATTTGAAAACATGTACACCCCGAAAACATATTCTGAGCGTTCAGAATATCCCAGCAAACATTGAGGTTAGTCATCGATTAGAGAATGATTGGAGAACTAGCCACATTCTCCAATCTCAAACGTTAGAGAACGACTCGAAAAACTATCGAGAATCATAGCGATCTCAACAAAAATGGGACATAGTTCTCGACTCGAGAAAATATTAATTCCCTAATCGAATTCTAATGTTGATCTCTAATTGGATTCGAATGTGAATTTCAAATTGCTGTTTTGCTTTATTGAATACAACGCATTGTTTGCAAAATGTATATTAAATGTATTCGCAATAAAATAATAATGGATTATTTGAACTTAAAAATAATGTATAATTCATTCATTTGAATTCATTCATTTGGAATATTGCTTATTTACATTTATATGAATTTGCGTTGTTTCTCTAATCGTTCTCGAATCGAATTCTAATGTAGTTCTCTAACTTCGTCATCGACTCGAGAACGATTAGAGAATTACTCTAGTTATCTAATGTAGAAATCCAAATTTCTCTAACGTTAGAGACTGTGTTTGCTGGGATATTAGTCCGAAAGGATTCCTAGCTGGGTATAAAATATGACTTTCAAAAACAAAAAAATTTTGACACTTATATGAATCTTTTAGGAGTCATTTATGATTCAAGTTATGAGCCAGCACTTCAGTGGCGGATACAGGATTTTAGTTGGGGGCGCGATTGGGATCGATTTGTCGAAAAACGTTAAATTACAGCGCTACTGGAAGGAAAGTTAATGGGTCGATTATCGATAGCAACCGGACTTCGGTTCACAAAGTGTGTAATCAGGCAGCTACATTTTTGCGGGTGCTAGAGCGTATGTAGGGGCGAAAATTGAAAAGTGTATCAAGTATTTTAGTTTGGACGATATCAACAATGTATTTGCAATGTAGTTTGCATTTACACAATATTTTAAAAATAACAACAAAGCAATAACTCGAAACTGTAGTTCCCTCGGAGTGCACGCTTTTGGTGTAAAAAAACGAACAGTGATTGAAAATGTTTTCCTCTATCAATTTGAGTACCTCTTTTAAACCTAGGGACATACCAAATTTTTAAATTTGCTTACAGTGCAGGCAGTAGCGCCAGAGGATTGGAATTATTCCTTAAATGGCGCCTGACTGAGGCCGTGTTCATGCGCTGCTCTACCTCTTCAAAAAATAGTTCACTGAAGTTAGCATTATTGCAAACTTTTATTTAAAACTCTTTATTTTAATAATTTCATTTTACTAGCACAGCTTGTTTACAACCACTTGCTGGTTCCCGCACAGTCAAATTTCGATTATCGATAACTCTACAGCAACTGACTATAGTTGCTATTTGCAATAAAAATTTTCTCTTCAGTGTTGTTGCCAGCTGGCATCCAAATCATGGTTGTGTTGCTGTCCGTAATCGACCCATAAGGGTATTTCGAATTTGGTGTTCTATCTTCAATATCACTGGACCACAAATTTCAACTTTTTCTCTTTACCAGAAACGCCGTTATGAAATTCTTATGTAAAATCACCCCCTGATTCCGAAAATCAAGGTTATTTTTAATTCTATGGTACCGTTTTTGAGATATTTGCAATTTACCGTTTTTGCAAAAAAAAAAAAAATGGGGTCCACTTTATCATATATATCTCAAGAACGAATTAAGCAATTCCAAAACGGTTTGAAGCTTTTAAAAGGTAATAAAATTTTCTATAAACTGTGCATACAACACTTTTTGCTAGGCCCTGTAGATTCAAAGATAACGAACAATCATTACCGATTTTTTCAATTTTTTTTGTAAAAATATAAAAAAAATTGTACTTTGCGGGGAAGGATCTCGAAAACCTTTTATTTTTTTGCAGATTTTTTTTTTCTCCCTAAGCTCTGTTGTATTACAAAAAAAATAAGCTATCATCGAAGAAAATCGATGCAAAACTACGTAAGTTATAAGCGATCAAATAAAAATACCCAGGTTGCGCAATTTCAACGTATACCTCAAAACGTATGTATGGTATAAAGAAGAGTGAAATATCTAGCTATGCTCTGTTTCTATTGAGTTAAAAGTTCAATTTATGAATGAAATTACCCATATTTTTAACTTTTTTTTTAAATTTATTTATGTTTATACTATATTCTAACAATCTTTATCTTAATTTGATTTTACTATGTTGTCGAAATAATTATGTGTTCTACTTTGACGCTTATTCAGTTTAGGATCGGTTTCTCTTATGAGAAACCAGCAGTAATCACCCATCATTGCGACGTCCCAGAATCCTTGATATCGATTCTCAATTAATTTCATTTGCTGATGAAACCTTTCGCCATGTTCATCACTTTCGTCGCCAAGATTTGCCGGAAAAAAGCTCAAATGTGAGTGGAGAAAGTGAATTTTTAAAGACATATTTACGCCCATTTTCGCATAATTATTGATTAGGTCGTTCACTATCTGCTCGTAGTTAGGGCTTTTGTGTCTACCGAGAAAAGAAGCAACGACCTTTTCAAAGGATTCCCACGCTGCTGCCTCAACTGATGAGAGTAGTCCTTTGAATTGATTATTGTTGATCAACTTTCTTATTTGTGGTCCAACAAAAATACCTTCCTTTATCTTGGCTTGAGAAATATCTGGAAAAACTGTTTTCAAATAGTCGAATGCTTCGCCTTCTTTGTCCAAAGCCTTAACAAAGTTTTTAATGAGACCGAGCTTGATGTGTAAGGGTGGAAGTATGATTTTCTCTTTCTTGACAAGAGGGGTGTATTTGATGTTATCCACACCAACGGTAAACTCGACTCTTTCCGGCCAATCCTTTCTGACGTAGTGGTCCTTACGAGCTCGGCTATCCCACTTGCAGAGGAAGCAGCAGTGCTTGGTGTAGCCACTTTGTAGACCGCATAGCATTGCAACGACTTTGAGATCAGAACATATTTTCCAATCATGCTCTTCATATTTGATAAATTTGAGTATTTTTTGCATTTCCTCGTAGGTTTCCTTTGTATTTACTGCATGTGCAATCGGGATAGAAGGCTTTTTGTTACCAATATGCAATAATACAGCCTTCAAACTCAGTTTATTGCCGTCTATGAACAATCGCCACTCTTTTGAATCATATGTTTGACCAAACTCTTTGAATAAACCAGGGATGTCGTTGCAGTAGCATATACTGTCTTTCTTGGTATAGTGTTTGGAAAATGGTTCGTGACGAGTTCTACTATATGTCACCTTAACATCGGATGACACAAATTTAAATTGTTGCATACGAGAAGTGTGGATCTCGGCCTTTTCCTTGGATAGTTCCAAATCTCTTATCCAATCATTAAGTTGTGCTTGTGACAGAACGTTTCTTTCGTTTTCCATGCGAAATTCAGTACAACTTGATCCCCCGCACTCAGATGTTACTGTTGACAATGGAACTGGATCCGCAACTGCCGTTGAATGTAGTACTGGTAATGTCACTGTAGGTACGCTAGCATAGGTTACTCCTCTTGATCTTCCAACGCCAAGTACTTTTGTTTGACAAATATAACACTCTATTGAATGGCAAGTAGGTTCTCTCCATATCATTGGTGTATCAAATTTTGTTTGTTGTCCTGATTCCCACTGAATCAATTCTACTCGACACGATGTACACAAAGTGTTCGGTGTCCATGGTTTTTCAGCATTTTTAGGCTCAATTCCAAAATACTTGGAGTATAAAGTTTTGATATGATCTGAGAACACTCGTCGTCGCCTTATGATAGTATATTGGCCACACATGAAACAGAACATATCTGGATCCTTATTACACTCAAATTCTCGCGTCCTTTTACTCATTTTATTTTTTTTAATAAATCACGGTTTTGAAATTAGACTTATGAACTGAACTATCTCCGGCGAGCCTTGAAGATGTTATGAAGTTTCAAAGCGCATTAACTCATATTTATACTCGGAACAAGAATAAAATTGAAAAAATCAAATCTTACCTAGACAGAAAGGTTCCTTTTTATAACAAGCCGGGAAAAGAAAATACTACCTGTTTTAGATGTAGGCTTTAGAAATTTTCTGTGTCTTATAATTTTGAAAATCTACCTGCATACTTACCCATAACTGACGGAAATACATGTTTATAACTACATGCCTACAGCAGGTTTCGAACCCAACCACTCTTCCTTTCGATGCAACCACTCTACCTACTATAATACAATTCGAGTATTAAAAGTACTATTTGATTTATTTAAAGAAAAAGTGTTATCATTGTTATGGTG